TGAGAGATGCTTTGTACTACTCAGTGTTATTTAGAGAAACACCAGTAAAAGAAAAGGTTTTTATGCGCCCGCCGGGTTCACAAGCACCAGTGGACTCTGTACAACAGAAAGGAAAATTTAACCAGCTAAGTGCTTGCTCATGCTATATGAAATCATGAGTTGTGCAATTACAAGAATTTGGTAAGAATCAGGAGGGAAATGATAAACATTGTATCTTACAACACTTCCGACGGTACAACAGTTCCCCAAAACACAAGCAGAAAGGGAGACAGCCCTATTTATAGCTATAAAACTACTTAAAATACAAGGCTCTCCATCTTCTCTAAGCCTGAAGACTATGATAGAAAGATAAACGACATCCAGACTTTTGAAATAGAAGGTAGGTCCATCTCTGTCTTTTCAACTATTTTGTTTGCTGACATATTCACTGAGACTCTAGGAAGTCCAGGGCTGGAGGGGTGATGTCCCAGGCAAAATCTAAAAAGCTGGCAGAGGTATACATGGACCTGAGCTGAATTAAGTTTTTTTGCAGATAAAGTACTTAATGCCTCCTAAGAAAGGTCCTAGCCACAATTTTTTTTTTTTTCTTGCTGTGTTTGGTAGTGATTTTTTAGAAATTAACACTGCTCCTGGATCCACTTTTAAGCATATACTCAAAAACATCCTTGAAAGTACATGAACTAATGCGCTCACCAAGCTCACCATATTCACCATTGGGTAACAAGCTGATTGATATTGCTGTGACTCATTTTGGTATTTCCTGTTTGCAGCTGTTTACTGACCTGGTTGACATCTATTCATCCTAACCTTTGTATATAGCAGATAAATAATCTTTAGACCTTAAGAGAGCGATCATCGAATATATGTATGTAGCATTTATACAGTGCTCTCAAGATCACCAGCTTTATGAATCATCACACAAATTGTTTTGTTACAGAAAAGGACAACTTCTTTAACTTTCCTACTATTTATTTGAACATTTCTCTGGCTGCTTGAGAAGTCTGTCTAGTCTTTCTGCCCACCAGAACTGAGAGGAGTTCAGATGATGTAGAAGCAGGTCAGACTAGACAAATTCAGAGGAGAGTGGTTCACGCTAGCATCTTTCACCTTGAGCAAGTTTCACTGTTCTCTGTCTCCAAGCAGGAGGAGATGGTTGCTCCTCTTGCACGGATCTTCACGGCCCAGTGGATGCTGCTGATCACTCCGTTGTGTGTTGGCTGGCACTGCGCAGACTGTGAGTAGAACACTTCCATGGGGCAGTCCTCTGAGGTGGAGTGTAACGTGCTTCTCATTATGGGTAGTTGTGCTTAAGTTGCCTTCTGTCTTAGATGTGTTAGGTGGTAAGCTCTATACCCAAAAGTCTGGGAATCAGTCCTGCACCTTACTGATCCTATTATGTAACACTTGCAGCGGAGGTGCCAGACTGACCTGTTAGAACTTTGGTGCTGAATCAGTGGAAAATGGAACTGAGTTGGATGAGCAGCATGAATGCTACTGAGCACTGGTGTTCAGTGACTGCAGGAGATTTTACTGAGACTATAATGGTAAATTTGCTATGTAAAGTTTTAACGAAGATACATCATTACACTTTCTTCTTTTTCTTTTATACCCTTAAGTAACTGTTTCCTGGTTTCAGGGGAATTTTGGTGAGAGGCATCTCATGCTATGCAGTTGAGAATTTTTAAGTACAAAAGACAGACTGAATTAGATACATGGGTCCTTACTGACTTACCTAAAAACAAGACATAAGCATTCAGGGACATCGGTGATGCAGTGATGTGCTTGCTCAGGGCTAACTGTTGTGACACAGAAGCCTGTGAAGACACAGTATTTCTGGAGTGGCTCCTGAGGGCCAACTAGGTTCATACAATCATAGGATGGTTTGGGTTGGAAGGGAACATTTAAAGATCATCTAGTTCAACCCCCTTGCCATGAGCAGGAACACCTTTCACTAGATCAGGCTGCTCAAAGACCCATCCAACCTGACCTTGAACACTTCCAATGACAGGGCATGCACAACTTCTTTGGGCAACCTATTCCAGCATCCCACCACTGTCATTGTAAAAAATTTCTTCCTTATGTGCAATATAAATCTACCCTCTTTCAGTTTAAAAACATTACCCCTTGTCCTGTCACTACAGGCCTTGGTAAAAAGTCTCTCTATGTCTTTTTTATAAGCCCCCTTTATATATTGAAAGGCTGCAATAAGGTCTCCTCAGAGCCTGCTCTTCTCCAAGCTGAATAACCCCAACTGTCTCAGGCTGTCCTCACAGGAGAGGTGTGCCATCCCTCTGATTATTTTGGTGGTTTCCTCTGGACCTGCTCTAACAGGTCCATGTCTTTCCTGTGCTGAGGGCTCCAGAGCTGGACACAGTACTGCAGGTAGGGTCTCACCAGAGTGGATTAGAGGGGCAGAATCACCTCCCTCAACTTGCTGATGACTCGTTACTGGTTCCACTTGGACATTGAGCCATTGATACTGTAACACTTTGGATGCAGCCATCCAGCCATTTTCTTATCATCTAACAGTCCATCTGTCAAACTCATATGTCTCCATTTTAGAGGAAAGAATGTTGTGGGGGACCATGACAAAGGTCTTACAGAAATCCAGGTAGATGACTTCCGTTGCTTTTCCCTTATCGACTGATGCAGCCCCTCTGTTGCAGAGGAGCACTAGATGACTCAGACACGATTTGTCCTTGGTGACACCATGTTGGCTGTCTCTAATCACGTACCTGTCTTCTATATGCTCCAACATATCTTCCAGGGGGGATCTGTTGCATGACTTTACCAGGCATGGAGGGGAGGCTGACTGGCCAGTAGCTCTCAGGATCCTCCTTATGACTCTTCTTAAAAATGGGTGTGATATTCACTTTTCTGCAGTCACTGTGGACTTCATCTGACTGCCATGACTTTTTAAATATGATGGAGAGTGGCTTGGAAGCTACATCAGCCAATTCCCTCAGGACCCTATGCAGCATCTAATTGGGTCCCATGGACTTATGTATGCTCAAGTTCTTCAGATAGTCTTAAACCTGATTATCTCTTATGATGGGAGAAACTTAGTTCCCCCGGTCCCTGCCCTGAGATTCAGGGACTAAAGAGATGTAGGAAGAGTGATTGCCAGTGAACACTGGGGAAAAATTTGTTGAGTATCATCTCAGCCCTCTCTGTGTCAGTTGTCACTAGTTCTCCTGTCTTACTTATCAGTGGCAGTACGCTTTCTTTAATCTTTCTTGATTCTACCTGTACAAGCCTTTATTATTATTTTTCACATTCCTTGCCAAATCCAGCTCCAGTTCAGATCCAAATCTTTAATAGCAGACAGGAGACTATTCTGTTTTCAGTGCTTATGCAGAGAAGACAGCCAGCTAAGCATTTCCTATTTTGCAAATACTGTGTTTGTTAAGCAAAATAGTTTTCTCTTTCACTGGCCTCTACAAGCTGCAGATACTTCAACGCAAGTCATGAAGTTGTTCTACAGGGATTATTGTTTTCCCTGTACATGTATTACTCCTGCCTTAGCTAAATTCTCTTCCTCTAGAGCCCAAAGCTGTCTCAGTCCATTTGGCCAATATTTCTTGTGTATCTGATTGGGTAGGTAATCTCCAAAATAAACTTGTTTCAGGAACAGGAACTGTAACAAGAAGGTATTGTTTTTGACAGTCTATTTTGCATTAATAAAGAGGGAGTATTTTACGCTACACTTCTGTGTCAAGCAAGATATATACCGCATCTATGGTAAACACTAACGTTTCCATAGGGAGTTTCTAGAAAATTCTGACATTTGGTAAGTCCTCTGATATTCCATGCAGTTATATCTCCTGTATCAGTAATCACAGATTTGAGTAGATTCACGTCACCCCCATTTCAACTATCTAAACATGGAAATTATAATCCTCTCAACTCTGACAGGAGTTACTAGAGAGGTACAGCCCCTGCTTGAAGGCAGTGTATCCCATGCATTTTATATGCCACTGACTGTGTAGTCCTTCACCACTTCATAGACAAGGCACCTATATGTCTTGCCCAAATTAGGTGCTAGTTTTCAGAAAACTAGTATTAGTGGAGATGAACCTCAAGTCCACTCCTTGCCCAGGTAGTCATTTGTGGGGTATCTATCTCCCTTTGTCTTCCAAAGGAGTGTAAAACACATTACAGCCATCTGTTGACTCTTATGAAAGCACATGTGCTCTATTTTGAGGACATTCAACTGATTTGGTGGACTGTTGTGGAGTATGGGTAGAAGGAGGGGAGGAACTGCTATTCCTAACCCTGCCATGAACTTTTCTAGAGGGAAGCACTGAACTCTTCACCTTGCACTAGTAAAGGTTTATTACCCAGAACTTCTGGGAAGAGGGTTCTTGAGGATGGGAAGACATCAGTACCTACTTCACTGTTTTAGTTGTCCCACTGTTACAAATCAAGCACAAGCTTAAGCCCTTTCTACAGGGAGTAGCACTGTGGAAACCAATAGATGAAAAACTAAAAAGTAAACCTTCTGCATGACATTTTTCAGGCAGAGCATATGAAGTGCATGTTTGGAAATATAGCACCTCCTCTGCACAATGGAGTAAGATTTTCTGCTTTAGCAGTGAACATGAATGGCACATATTCAAACATATGCAGATATATTCCTCAAGGTAATACTCTAGACTTTCAGAGGGATTTGCCTACTTCCAATGGCCTGGGGTAAAGAGAAAACTGAAACCTTTAGTTCTCTAATTTATTTATTTCCTGTAGGATGAACAGAATCTTGTTCACAGCCTTATGACAATGTTTCTGTGAAAAGGAGTTTCCTACAACTAGCTCAGCAATTTTTCAGTCCTCAGTTGCAACGTTGCTTGGTGCCATTTTTTAAATTGCCAATCATCTTTTAATTGTTTGTGCTAATATTTTAGTGACTGCATTTGAATATCTTTAAAATGTTATTAAAAATCCAAGTGAAAGAAGTTTGTGGCTGTAGTTTTGAAATTCTTCCTTGAGAAATCTGTGACATCTTGAATTTTGTCACGGTGTAACTCATGGTGTATTGCCCAACACTGTGCAGTGTCCCATCCACAATAATGAAAGGCCTGACAGAATTTACTCCTCTTTGTATGAGAGGGGTGATATATGAGACTGTTAAGAGAATGAGGTACAATATCTGTTCGTTTAAGCAGCATGGAGTTGACATATACAAAACGGCACTACTTTCTGCCTCATCAAGCTCAAAGTATTTGCTGATTACTTATAAAAGGATGGATAAGTAATCCTTCCTTTTAAAAGCTATGTTTAGTTTCATTATTTGGTTTTTCTGGGGTCTTTTAAGGCACAGACTCTGGCGGGGATTCAAGCCAAAGACCTTTATTGCTATAAGCACTTGCTTTTTATACAGTTACAGCTCTCTCACGCGCCACAAAATGCGTCCTGATTGGTTACCACACACAGTCCATGCGCTTCTCACACAGTCAGGATTGGCTGCCTGCAGGTGTCCATGCGCTCTTCTCTAACCATTTTCCTTCCTTCTTCTGCTCCAGTACCTCCCCTTTTGCTGGTCACGAGAATGTCATGCTCTTCTCCACTTCCTCCTTGGTTGTTTACCGTCTTTAAAGCAACAGTTCCTTCTCCTCAAGGTCAAACCTTTGCAGGGTAATCCCAACACTGGGGGTGAGGGTTAAGTTGTAAATTGATATGTTTGTGATCAGGAGAAGATTGCTCATGTTAATCCCAGGCGGAAGAAGGTATCACTGCGGAGCGCAACCACCTCACAAGTTTGCATCTACACCTCCCTGAAGTTTTGACAAACTGCACTTGGGTTTCTCTCACTCTCTGGAGTCCACAGGGAAGATCCTCATGCTCTTTGTTCATTTGACAGATGCTGAAGAACATTTTTCATGTAGAAATGTTACAGCAGGGTACTGAAGGATGACAGGCAAATGTTTCCATTTGTGGCATTGTGGCACCAGAGTCTCCTTTTGAACAGGAACAATTCAAAGCACAGGCGTAGCCACTTTAAGTGTCAGCCTGTAGTAGCACAGTGTAGGCTCCCCTGAGACTTATTCTATCAGATGCAGCTATAATCATATCTTTGGAGGATTTATCCATGACAGATTCTTCACTGTCAGTCCACATCTGTCTTCCAGTGTTACCACCTAAAATGAAGCAAGTCAGCATTCCTAGCCCAAGCAACAATAAAGTAGAGTTGCAGGTGTCTAACACACCTAAGCGTATGCCAAGATCCTTCAGCTTGGAGCCGTCACACAAGTTTTCCCCATCACAGATATTCCTGTGTTTGCAGGCATGGATGGGTCGGCCATTGAAAACTTCTCCTGTGTGCTTTATAACGTTTCCCTCATGAACTGCACTTGGCAGGCAGGCAGGGATGCTCCAGGAGATACACAGTATTTTCTCTACTGGCAGAACTCAAGGTAAGTAGGTCTGCTTGAGTCTAGGGAAGTCTGAATTCTCATTCAACACATCACACTGCCCATATTTAACTAAAATACCTTTCTATATACAGAGATGACGACAAGATGGAATGTGAGCTTTACATTAAAGATGAAAATGGCAGAAACATGGGATGTAGATTCCAAAATGTGAGGATAGGAACTGAAAAAGCTTACTTCCTGGTGAATGGGTCCAGCAAAGACTCCCTGATCCAGTTCTATGATGAGTACATTGAACTGTATAAAATTGGTAAGTAAAATAATTTCTTTCTGCTTTATTTTCATTATTGTATGACGGTGGTAGAACATTTATCCCTGAGAAGGAATCAAGTATCCATTCTCACCTAGAGTTGAAAGTAAAAGATTGTGGCCCCTTCAAGAAAACCTATTCCCCAAGCAAAAGAGCAATGAGGGAAATTATCAGGAAAGCTCCACAGCTGCAGCCTGCCTCAGATTCTTTAGCAATCTACCTTTACTGTTTTTAGATCTTTCTCCAGCAAGGTCCACTGGACTTAAGACACTGTACTTCCCCCTGCTGTCCTTTCAATGATGGCCAAAGACAATTCAACAGTGGAGACTTTTTGGGAGAAATTTATCTGAGCACTGATTTCTCCTTCTTATTTCCAGTGGGGATGGCATACACAGAGATCATAAATAAACTAATACGTGTACAAAACACCCCAGGTTTTCATATGCTCTTTCACATGTGGTACTCTACTTGGAAGCATCCTGTGAAATTACTTTTACTGTGGCAAAGCCTTTTTGGCAAAGTCCCACTGTTTTTGGTATTGCCTCCAAAAAAATGGACAAACAAGGCTTCATTTTATGAGGGAAAGGAACTGAGCTGTAATATCACACAAGGCAAATGAAACAAGACTGTTCTTTGACCAAATAGCCCATCACAAGTAAGCTAGGCCCGCCTCTAAATATTGATGTAAAGTAGCAGTCTAGCTGAAACTAAGGTTTCCTCTATCAGCCTTTTATCACCCTTTCTGTCATGAGCAGCTGTCTTTCGCTGTTACAATAATCAAGTCCTTGGTGATGATCAAAATATAAAGGTCCTCATATTTTTGCTCACATCTGTGAATTTAGGTGAGATATGTGAAGAGGTTGGCTAGATTCTTAAAACTGAAGTGTCATAAAACTTAAATTTGCATGGCTAATTTTTTGGAAGGGGGGAATAAACTGCATAGTTCATAACATCAAGCAAGCAACACCTTCATGTTACAGAAGCATCGTGTGAGGAGGCTTGAAATAAAAAAATGACCTTGGGATTTCTTACATTTGGGTTAGCATCAGCTTAAAAACATCCTCATAACATCAGCAGCTTAAAAACATCATCAGCTTAAAAACATCCTCTAGTAAAAAACATCCTCATAACAAGAAGACAGGACTCTACCTTATTCATCTAGAAAAGTAAATGGAGGGGATATGTATCTTTGCATGCTCCTAAGTCATGCTCCCTAGCTTAGTCCCTGTTTTTTCTGATCCTGGGGACAGGATTTAATGAACTTTGCATTTTTAATTATTTCTAACAGAGTTCCTAAGAAAAATAGATACAAATTAGTATCTTTCTTCATAGAGGTGTTATTTGCAATTGCACTCTCTTTTATCAAAAGCAAAAAGAGATCAAGTGATTTTAATTAATTGAAATCTTGGTTATATCATTTCAGAAAAGCTGATGCCTCCATCAAAAATCTCTGTCAACTGTGATGAAATTAAAAATGATTGCAGAATTCAATGGCAACGACCCCAAATAAGTCATTCTAACAAAGACAACTGTTTTAAATATGAAATCAACATAAAGTATAAGGTAAAAGGAAGTCTTCATTTACATTTAACATTAATACATATGTTTGCATTCACCAATACACAAGGATAGAAAGAAAATCAGTCTCTTCTGTATGGTGTAGCCTTCCTCATACATAGCACCATATTCCTTTGTGGTTGTGCCTTTCAGGCACCCTGTTATGCCATACTGACCCATTTTTTTATCCCTGTTCCTGTGTGAGATGTTGCTGGAGATAGATAGATACACTGGTTGACTGTGACTATGACTGTGTGGAACTAAGAGAAACATTGTTAATCAAGACTTGAACATATCACAGCCTTGGCTGTGACAAAACCCAGAAAAGGCACTTCTTTCACTAAGAGCTGTTCTGGATTGGAGTCTTTCCAGTGGCGACTGCATCTTTGTGAAAGGGCAGAGCTCAGCTGTAAACACCATACAGAGAAATGCGCATCCACATTTAACAAGTGTGAGGAGATGATGGTGAATGAAATATCAATATATATGAAATGTAAATAGCTTACCCAGATATCTGGATATCTAAGCAACACAACTGTTGGTCCAAGAGTTGAAGCTGTATAATATTAAATAAAAAGAAAAATAAATGTGAGAGAGAGCAGAAAGGTGGTGTGAATAAGCACAGGTTACTGAAGGAAATATTTAAGCTACTGAAAGTCAAATTCAGACCTTGGCTTTACAAGTCTTTTTGCAGCAATAGGGAAGGAGTGAGATTGCTGAGTTCCACTGCAAGAGCAGACCTAAACTTACAGTAACTGTGGAAGAATTGCGTCAAATGACCATAGAATGGCACAGAGTGACTACAAAGGAAAAACCTGCCTGTAATACAACCACATTTGGCCACTTAGTGGCTGATTGAAGGCATTCCCTAAATTTCTGTTATTTGGAACTTCTTAGTCTGGATCGGGCTTGCTATTTCATAGACAAGTTTTCTTGTAAGCCTAACTAACTGCTACAAAACTGCACTACTTCTCCAAATCCCTTGGCCATTGCAGCAAAGAAAGCTTATAGAAAATTCTGTGTGATATTGGAATGAAATTGCATTACAGTAAAGCAATACAAACTTCTTAAAGTCTTTTAATATGCCTAATATTTCGTTTATAAAAATTATTCAATTCACATATAGTCTGAGCTGCCTATCATTTTTTAAAATAACTTCAGCGGGTTTAATTTTACTAATTACATCAAGGTCCAGCAATTACTGTACTGCAAAATGTATTGCTTTACCACTGCCAGGTGTAAACTTGTATGGTTTTATTAATACACTATGAACAACATATATTGTATTACAATTAGCCTTTAAACTTTCATTTCACAATTGGATATTACTTGCATTGGGAGCAAACAAAAAAAGAATAACACCATGAGTAACATAATTGCAATCACATTTTTTCATGTCTGACACTGATAAAATGAGTTTGCTGAGCATCTTGGATTCCTCTTCAGCAATGTTTTAAGTTTTTATAGATCAGGATATGTGGGAAACCTGAAGGGAAATCTTACCAGTGAAAACTGAGCTAAAAAAGCACCAAATACCTCAGCTTTTCCCATGCCCTTTGTCACTAAGCTCCCCTAACTCAGTGAGAAACAAGCCACATTCTCCTTAACCTCCCTTTTGCCAGTGCACTCATAAAAACCTTTCTTGTGTTCACCTCCCTCACTAGCCTCAACTCCAGCTGAGCTTTGGCTTTCCTGACTCCATTCCTGCATGTGCAGATGATGTTTTTGTATTCTTCCCAAACCCCTCCTTCTACTTTCTGCATGCTTCCTTTCTGTCTCTGAGCTCAGACTCAAGCTTCATGTCCTGCCGTGCTCACCTGGCACACTTGCTCGATTTCTGCACACCAGAATGGACCATTCTTGTGCTCTGAGGAGGCTGTCCTTGTAGATCAACCCTCCAGGGCAATTTCCCTTGAGTACCAAGTCCTGTGGCTGTGAGGCTTTCTCAAGCTGCCTGAAGAGGGTCTCATCTGCTTCCTTTTCTTGATGAGGAGATCTGGAACAAACACCTATTACATTGTCACCTGTGTTGGTCGGTCCTCTGATGCCTGCTCACAAGCTCTCTTACCGTTTCATCGTTTGTCCCAAGACTGAACTTCAGGTCAGCATTCAGGTCACTCTACACAGAGCACAAGGACCAGGTTAGTCTGTTTGCAAGGTGAGATGCATCCCTTGCCTTCCCAATAGTCCCCATTTCTCAAAAAGGGTCCCAAGGTCATAGAAGCCAAAGCCTTACCTGTGGCCTACCTTACACCAGCCACTCACACAGGTGTTGACCTGCTGGATGGATTCTATTCTGCTCAAGCCTTTCTCTCTCACAAGAAGGACTGAGGAGACACCATCCCCCCCTGAGTTCTGCAGTCACCCTTTAAACCATCCAGGTTACCCCTGGCCATATCATTGGTGTCCACACAGAAGAGCAGGAAGGTGTAATAGTTCAATGGCGAGACAAGTTTGGCAGTCCTTCTGCAGCATCCTGGATCTTGGCCCCTGGCAAACAACAGACATGCATCAGGTCAGGCCAGTAGATTAGTGTCACCACCCTCTGCAGGGGGGAATGTCTTTTAACTATCACGCACATTTTCTCCTTCATTTTTTAAACACAGTGCCCTTTAATACATCTCTCTGCCAAAATTTGCAAAAGACCAGTTATCCTTCTGGAACACCACTTTCTGAAGTCTTCCATGACCTCATTGTTTTCATTTCTCTTATCTTATTTTACTATAAACACAGAAAAAGGGAGATTATATTGTTGCACTTTCTCCTAGATCCCTGTGCTTAAGCTAGCTTGTTTATAGATTCTAGAAGCTGTCCTGTATGGCAGCATGCCTTGCAAAAACTCATGTTCAGGTGCCACATGAGTATTCATGCAGTTATTTGATAAAACAAGTTTGGATTAATTTCATTTTGTTTTAAAATGGAGTAATACAGAAGGCAAAATAATTTAAAAATACGTAACTCTGGCAGGCGAGTGGAGATGATATCGTCTGCAGCCATTAGTTGTATGTGGTCACTGTATTATGATAGAATCATAGAATCTTTGGGTTGGAAGGGACCTTTATAGGTCATCTAGTCCAACTCCCCGGCAATGAGGAGGGACATCTGCAACTAGATCAGGTTGCTCAGAGCCCTGTCCAACCTGACCTTCAGTGTTGCTAGGGATGGGGCATCTACCACCTCTCTGAGCAACCTGGGTGGTTGCCCAACATAACCTTCTTTTTAGTTTAAAACCATTACCCCTTGTCCTACCACTACAGGCCCTGCTAAAAAGTCTGTCCCCACCTTTCTTAGAAGCCCCCTTGAAGTACTGGAAAATGCAATAAAGTCTCCCTGAAGCCTTGTCTTCTCCAAGCTCAACAACCCCAACGCTCTCAGCCTTTCTTCACAGAAGAGGTGTTCCATCCCTCTGATCATTTTGGTGGCCTCCTCTGGACCCTCTCCAACAGGTCCGCATCTTTCCTGTGCTGAGGGCTCCAGAGCTGGACGCAGGACTCCAGGTGGGATCTCACCAGAGTGTAGTAGAGGGGCAGAATCACCTCCCTTGACCTGCTGGCCATGCTGCTTTGGATGCAGCCCAGGATACGGTTGGCCTTCTGGGCTGCAAGTGTACATTGCTGACTGATGTCCAGGTTGTCATCCACCAGTACCCCCAAGTACTTCCCAGCAGGGCTGCTCTCGATCCCTTCATCCCCCAGCCTGTATTGATACTGGGGGCTGCCCCCAACCGCCCTGACCGAGGTGCAGGACACTGCACTTGGCATTGTTGAACCTCATTAGGTTCACATGGCCCCATTCCTTGAGCTTATCCAGGTCCTTCTGGATGGCATCCCATCCCTCAGGTATGTCAAATGCACCACTCAGCTTTGTGTTGTCATCTGCAAACTTGCTGAGGGTGCATTCGATCCCACTATGTCACTGATGAAGATATTAAGAGTACTGGTCCCAATATGGAACCCTGATGGACACCACTCATCACTGATCTCCATCTGGACATTGAGCCATTGACCAGTACCCTCTCTATGCAATCATCCAGCCAATTCCTCATCCGCCAAACAGTCCACGCATCAAATCTATATCTCATGAGTTTGGAGAGAAGGGGGGCCCTGTCAAAGGCCTTGCAGAAGTCCAGATACATGTCAACTGTAGATCTTCCTTTGTCCACTGATGTGGTCACTTCATCCTGGAAGGCCACTACATTGGTCAGGCAGGACTTACCCTTAGTGAAGCCATGCTGGCTGTCGCAAATCACGTCCCTGGTCTCTACGTGCCTTAGCATAGCTTCTAGGAGGATCTGTTCCATGATCTCCCCAGGCACAGAGGTGAGGCTGATGGGTTTGTAGTTCCCTCCTTTCTACCTTTTTTAAAAATCAGTGCAATGTTTCCTTTTTCCCAGTCTCCAGGGACTTCACCTGACTGCCAGGACTTTTCAAATATCATGGAGAGCGGCTTGGAAACAACATCAGCTAGTTCCCTCAGGACTCTGGGATGCATCTCGTCAGGTCCCATAGACTTGTGCATGTTCAGTTTCCTCAGGTGGTCTCAAACCTGGATCTTCTCTTACACTGCATCAGACAATTCCCTCAGCACTCTGGGTTGCATCTCATCAGGTCCCATAGACTTGTGTATGTTCAGGTTCCTCAGGTGGTCTCAAATCTATCTTCTCTTACAGTCAGAGGGACTTTGCTCCTCCAGTCCCCATCTTGCAGTCCATCCCCTTGAGAGATGTGGGAAGAGAGACTGCCAGTGAAGCCTGAGGCAAAGAAGTCCTTCAGTACCTCAGCCTTCTCCTTGTCTGTTGTTACCAGGCTGCCAGTCTTGCTCATCAAGGGGGTACGCTTGCTTTCACTTTCCTTTTCTGGCCGACATACTGTAGAAACC